AGGAAAGCAATATAGGACTATAATTCTAGATGTGTTCTCTGGACACAAACTGCCTAGGTTCAAATCCCAGCCTCAACAACTGGCAGCTATGTGACCTTAGGCAGCTTGATTTCTGTACGCCTCAGTTTCTTCATATAGCAAATAAGCTAACAACACCACCCATCCGATAGAGTTCTTGTAAGAATTAAATAAGTATATATTTATAATGCACCTAGAACAGTGCTTGGCTCACCTATAAAGGATAACTATTATTACCAACAATGCCCAAACACAGTGGATATACAGATATTAATGAACAGGGTGAAAAATCTCTCACAACCTCAACTGAGGGAACTGCAATGACATAATTGAACAATAATTTAAAATGCATTGGGATGGGAATTATTACATGCAAGATTTACATTAAAATTAATAAGACTTTTAAAGCATATTCCTAATCACAATAGGAACTCCTACACTAATTTAGATCACCTATGTATAGGCCTCCTTTCAAAGGTCTGACCCCCTTGCTAGAGACAGATACTTTTTCCTGAAGCCAAACATCCCATGCTCAGTCTGGTGCATGTACTATATCTTGCTAAGAGCTGTGGGAGGGAGGGAGTGTTAGTGAAATGCTTTTCACAATGACAAAGACAACAGTACCATTCTGTTCTGTTCTGTTCTGTTCTAAAAGAAGAAGGCTCAGGTCCAGTTTCTGAGTTGGTGGCCTACAAGCAGATTTCAAGCTTAATGATTCTACTGAATTCTACCTTCCTTCACAGAATCTCTACCCCAAGAGCCCACCTTGTCCTCTCCACTTCCTGCAATGATCTGCTGCCTTCCAATACCTATCCCTAGCATCTCAGTATTCACTATTGAATAAATTTTCTACTGAACTGGTTAGTTCACAAAAAAGCACAAGAGTAGTTCATTCATGGTACAGCCAAATTATCATCCAATTATAATAGACTAATTTCTACTATGTACACTTACCTAGGGGAGAAGTTCTATGCTACAAAATTTTTCACACAACTCCCCAGTAATGTGAATCCTACATCTGTACATTCAACAGAAAACATGATTTGTTTGTTGTGCTTTACCAGGACTCAGAGTAAAACAGAATTTCAGTGAGTATTAGAGTTCCTGCCTTCTTAAACTAAGAATGGAACAAGTGACCAGTTTACCACTCAGTTCTACCAATGGCTTGTAGCAGTGTGCAGAGTACCCAACACCTAAATTACACTGATCTCTGTTGTACCACCAACCTATATTACCTGTTCCAGTCAAAAACAGCTGCCTGAGGCTCAGATAATGATGGAGATTCAGGCTAACATCACTTCATCCCATCAAGAAAATTCCAAGAACTGACTTGATATCCAAGAGTATAGCAGACTGAACTACAAAATATTCACTTTTCAAAGCACTGCGGGAATCTGTGATGGTCTCAAATATCACCTTCCATCCCCAAAACAAGGGTTACTGGTGTGGGACCAAAAGCAATGAGATGCTGGCACACTCAGCAGGCAGCTTTGAAATTTAGATACCAAGCCTTAGCCCAAGAACAGAGAGAGAACTGAGCCCAGAACTCCAGGCTCTCTTTAGGAAACCCAGATCAATAGGGGGACAGTCCCAAATTAGTGGTACACCCAGGCTCCTGGTGAAAGCAGACTCAAATTATCTCCAGAGAAAAGCATTTCCAGTGTAGGCCTCCTGGAATTCTACAGGTTACAATAAAGCAATGAGCTTACAAAATTTTTAAAGCATGAAGCAAAGAGTAAGTCACCAAGAATTCAGGTCAATGCAGACAGTCCAAAGATTACACATACCAGAACTGTCAAAGAGTAAGAACAGCCAAGCAGGAATACACATGTGACCTAGCAGTTGGACCCATGACCTGTATTAGAGTACCTGGGTTCAAATACTGGCTTTGGCTCCCAATTCTGGCTTCCGATTAATTTGGACCCTGGAGGCAGTAGTGATGGCTCAGGTAGCTGGGTCTCTCCCACCCATGTGGGAGACCTGGATTGGGTTCCCAGCTCCCAGCTTCAGCTACAGCCCAGCCCTGGTTATTGCAGGCATTTGGAGAGTAGATAGGTGTGTTCTAGCTCTCCTCCCTCTCTCTCTGCCCCTCAAAACATAAATAAATAAATAAAAGGAAGGAAGGAGGGAAAGAGAGAGAAAATTTTAAAAAAAGAATAATAAAGTGTGGGAAATTTCTAAAGAAATAAATGAAGAAGAAACAACAGAAGGCCCAGGCAGATTTGAAAAAGAAGCAAAGGAAACTTCTCAAGTTAAAAACTAATGGCTACGGCCGGCGCCGCGGCTCACTAGGCTAATCCTCCGCCTTGCGGCGCCGGCACACCGGGTTCTAGTCCCGGTCGGGGCGCCGGATTCTGTCCCGGTTGCCCCTCTTCCAGGCCAGCCCTCTGCTGTGGCCAGGGAGTGCAGTGGAGGATGGCCCAGGTGCTTGGGGGAGACAAGGAGGAAGCACCTGGCTCCTGGCTCCTGCCATCGGATCAGCGCGGTGCGCCGGCCACAGCGCGCCGGCCGCAGCGGCCATTGGAGGGTGAACCAACGGCAAAGGAAGACCTTTCTCTCTGTCTCTCTCTCTCACTGTCCACTCTGCCTGTCAAAAATAAAAAATAAAAAAAATAAAAAAAAAACTAATGGCTAGCATCAAATATTCAGAACAAGTTGACAGCAGAGTAAACATAGCTGATAACAGAATTAATAAACTAAAAGAAATTACCATGTAAGCAAGATTCTAAATTAGTTTCATAGACTATCAAGAGTTCAAATTACTTCCAAATTAATTATGAAGTAATGGTTCATGACTTCTCCCAAAAAAAAAAAAAGAATTCTGGATGCATTATTAGTTTTATAGTATAAACGTATTATCTTTTAGATGTCACCTCATCTTTACAATAACCCTTTTGACTAATGGCATCTTGAGAAGTCCAATAAGACATACACAAGAAATGAAAAATTAGGTCCACATTGTAGCACAGTGGGTTAAGCTGTTGCCTGCAATGCCAGCATCCCATATCAGACCAACAGTTCAAGACCCCACTTCCCTTCTTCAGTTTCCTTCTAATATGCCTGGGAAAACGGCAGATGGCTCCACTACATGGGCCCCTGCCACCTATGTGGGAGACCAGGATGAACTTCATGGCTCTTGCCTTCCATCTGGCCTAGCCCTAGCCTTTGTGGCCATTTGTGGAGTGAGCCAACACATAGAATATCTCTTTATATCTGTTTCTCCCTCTCTCTGTCATTCTACCCTTTAAATAAGGAAATCTTTTAAAAAAAAAAAATAAATGAAAAGGAGCACAGAAGCTACAACCCAAATCACTTATTGTATCCTTCAATGAAACTAAACCTAAATATTAATTCAGGTACTGTTTTTTCTTTTTAAAAAAAAGATGTATTTATTTATTTGAAAGTCAGAGTTACACAGAGAGAGAAGAGAGGCAGAGAGAGAGAGAGAGGTCTTCCATTCGATGGTTCACTCCCCAATTGGCTGCAATGGCCCGAGCAGTGCTGATCTGAAGCAAGGAGCCAGGAGCTTCTTCCAGGTCTATCCTTGGGTGCAGGGGCCCAAGGACATCTTCTACTGCCTTCCCAGGCTATAGCAGAGAGCTGGATTGGAAGTGGAGCAGCCGGGTCTGGAACCGGCACCCATATGGGATGCCACCGCTTCAGGCCAGGGTGTTAACCTGCTGCGCCACAGAGCTGGCCCCCAGATACTGTTTTTTTATGACCCCCTTGCAGGGACTGAGTCACAGAAAATTACACCTCCTGTATTCTGGACCACAGCAGATAAAAAAAAACAAAATGGAATAAGATTATTAACCCAGAGAGAAGGCTATAAAAGGAAGAAAAGTCATTGCCTCATAGCAGTCTTCTACTGAGCTAAATCTGGCACTGCAAAGTTAACTGCAGCCTATTCATTCTTCATACCTATCAAGGTAACAATCAGCAAATGTGTATTTGATCCTCTTACAAAATGTCACCATACCTATGGCCATTTTTATACTTAAGTTAGCATAACTAATTCATATTGTTTCTCCTTTTCAGTATCACTTCTTACAGTTCTGCTCTCAAGTTTATTCAACTATTACTTTTAACCACAGTTATACTTAGCACCTCATTCACAAAACATTATTCCCTTAATTTGTGAATCACAAATAAAATCCTCACAATTTTCACTTGTGCACAGAAGGCAAATGCCATACTATCACCAAAAAAGGATTTTCCATACTCAGCAAAATAAAGGGATTGCTATTCAATTTTCAACTCTGTTTATCTCACCCCAAATCTACCTATATGATTTATTTACACCCAACCCTCAAACAGCCGTCACTGCCTATCCATTCACTAGTTGATACCAACACGAAGACTTACACGGTGTTAATTATGACACTTCCCTTGAGTATTAAAGCAAATGAGAAAAGCAAACCAGAACAGCGAGTCTGAAATACTTAGACTTCTTTCCAAACTAAACAAAACATTCTTTAGCAGTGACCACATGGCCCGCCAAGTTTTAAAACGAGCCGTTTCAACTTGGAAAACTGTATGTATCTTAAAAAAGTTCTTACGAGATTAATACATTAAGCAGTAAAAGTAATACCGTGACCTGAAAGTTGATATGTTTGATATGAAAGTTTGATATGTCTTATACCATCATACACCAGGGAATAGGGGAGAAGTTCGACTTAAAAAAAAATGCAATATCCACCTAAATGGCGTCAACATCTAGGTATCAGAACTGCTTTTCACATCAACCCTCAGAAATACGGGGCAACACAAATACCAGTGCATCTGTCACAGGATCCAACTGGAACGGAACCCTGTCGTCAATCTAAGGAGACTGGCAGCTCTGGATGCCTAAAACCAAAGTTATTCTCCCAGGCCCTGTGGGCCCTCGCCCGGCAGTCTAGAGCTTGAAGGCGCCCCAGATCAGAGCCACAGGCCCTCCACAGAGCGGACGCCGCCCCACCCCAGCTGCGGGCGACACTTACAAACTTGGGCCGTTTCTCCCCAGGTTCCTCCGGGCCGCCGGGCGGCGGAGGGTGCTGGGGTCCCTTCCTGCGCGTCATCTTGCTTTCCCGGCAGCTGCGGAGCGAGGCTGAGGAAGGGTAGGGAGTCCCCGCGACAGAGGCGTGCCCCGGGTGGTGCAGCCGCGGCCGGTGCCGCTCCATCTTTCCCGACACGCTGAGGGCAGCTCAGCGAACCGAGGCAGATCCGGCTTCCCGGTTCCGCCGCCCACGCCGTCAGCCCAGCCCAGAACAACCGCTACAGACGGGCCACAGCCAAACACATCCGAAAAGTCCCGCCACCGCGGGTCCGCCCAGGACCCCGCCAATCCCGCGCCTCCTGGTCAATGACACGCCATGGCTCCGCCCCTTCCGGGTTTCCTGAAGTGTGACTGGCTGAGCCATCTGTACGTTTCACTCCTGCAGCTTCCTGAGGGTCCCGGCCGTCACCTTAACTGCTGTGGGTGGGGTGTGATTTAAGAGATGCGGAAAACTGACAAGAAAGTCACATGCCTGGAGTTATTTGGAATTTGGAGAAGAGTTCTTCCAAAACTGGAAGGCAAATGAAACCGGCTGTGAGGCAGCTTTTGCGCAGCGGTGAAATGTGAAGTCATCGTCTAACCCTCCTTTTGCTGGCCTTGGGGTAAAAGCCGCTGGGAAAGGGAGTTCTAGGCTCTTTACTTGAGGGGGTCCCGGGAGGGAGAGAAGCAGCACTCCCACCAGGCTCCAGCAGGATGCTGTCCCGATCTGGTTGCTAGTCGCCGCCGCATGCCGTAGTGCCGAATGCTCACTCTGGGGTGGCAGAGACGCCACCAGAACTCAGAAAGAGCTAGTATGAGCCAACGCCCTTTATGGAGCTCACTGCGAAATAAAGTTGTCAAACCCTGACACGCATAACAAAGCAGTGTAAATATGACAGCAACCGTCTCCAAAATTCGTTGAGAACAAAAACAGCAGATAATAAATCGGAAAGAGTGAGTCTGGGAAGGCCAAAAGTAGAATGCTCAGGTTTTCGCAGGACAGAAAAGAGTGAGGGGACGAGATTCCAGGCTAAGAGAATCAAGAGCACAGAATTGAAGAAGCTTCAAAGGTTTGGAATGCAGGGCCTTGAACTGAAACCATGCAAAGGGATTTGTTGTGTAGACCGTATACCCAAGGTCAAGCTACTGGGCTAGTGCAGTTTTTTCACACATCAGTGTTTCCTCCCCCCTACCTTTAAAAGTCATCTTTTCCTTTAAAGCGATCTCCTTAAGATAGACGTCTTGTGACTGTAGGGAGGTGGTGTGGGCCAAGACGCTGTTAAACATGCAGTATTGATTTTGGTACAAGAAACAGCTCCAGCTTCTCTGGGGAGTTAGCACAGCAGTTCAGAGAATGGGCCTTAGCTCCAAGGACGTCTTCATAGAATACCCTTTTTTTTATTTTTTATTTTTCTGTGCCACACTTTCAACAAAGCATCTAATCTTTAGGGATACTTCCAAAAGAATAGCAAGGTCAGGAGAACTATAAGTAATTTCTTATACCTTGTGGACAATTATACCAAGATGCAAATGTTACTCCTGCCATTTACTATCTTTGTGATGTTGAAGATCATGTTGAACTTTCTTTGAGTCTTCACTGGCAAAAGGGGGATAATAACAGTAATACACACAAAATAGGAGTATTTTCAGCTTAAACAAGATAATGTATTTAAAGCTGTTAGAAGTCTCACTGACCTCCAGCCAAAGTCCGGCAGGAGGAATACCTAGAATACAACAAGTTTATCACTCACAGGAAGTGAGAAAATGCACTTTGAGGAACCATGGATCGCTTCTCGGCCTTTTGGCTAAGATCAAGTGAGGAACCATGGACTGTCTCAATAAGAGGGTATTAGAAAGCATTTAAGGGGCCAGCACTGTGTTGTAACAAGTTAAGCTGCCATTTTCTTTTTTCTTTTTTTTTTTTTTTTTTTTTTTTGACAGGCAGAGTGGACAGTGAGAGAGAGAGACAGAGAGAAAGGTCTTCCTTTGCCGTTGGTTCACCCTCCAATGGCCACCGTGGCCAGCATGCTGCGGCCAGCACACCACGCTGATCCGATGGCAGGAGCCAGGTACTTCTCCTGGTCTCCCATGGAGTGCAGGGCCCAAGCACTTGGGCCATCCTCCACTGCACTCCCTGGCCACAGCAGAAAACTGGCCTGGAAGAGGGGCAACCGGGACAGAATCCAGCGCCCCGACTGGGACTAGAACCTGGTGTGCCAGCGCCGCAAGGTGGAGGATTAGCGTAGTGAGCCGCGGCGCTGGCTTAAGCTGCCATTTTCAACACCAGCATCCCATATACTTCCAATCCGGCTCCCTGCTAATGCTCCTCAGAAAGCAGCAAAGGATGGCCAAAGTACCAGGGCCCCTGCATCCAAGTGGGAGACTCGGATGAATCTCCTGGCTCCTGGCTTCAGCCTGGTCCACCCCTTCCCAATGTGGTCATGTGGGCAGTGACCCAACAACTGCAAGATCTGTCTCTCCTAACTCTGCCTTCAAATAAATAAATCTTAAGAAAAAAAAAATGTCACTTAGAGGATTTGTATTTAGTTAGGTGATCATGAGATGACACCACAGAACAGGAGAACAGGGAGGGACAGTTGCTGCTTTTTATGTGCTGTCAAGAAGCAGGGACAGTTCAGTGATTCAGTATCTTAATCTTATCCAGTTGGACAAGCTAAGAAGCCAAGCTGAAAGCTCAAACTGACAAAGAAGCAACAGTCATGCTATCTCCTGGGAAGGGGGTTGCTCTTAGTGTCCAAAGAAAAATTATAACATTTAGTTTAAAGATCTAATGTGTTCTTATTTGTTATTCAAGTGTTGGGCAACACTTCATTCTATAAAACTGAATGTTCTGATAAGCTGAGCAGGGGAAGGCAGAAAGCGACTGAAGAAAGCAGATACAAGGAATGAAAAGTGGATTATTCATTTCAAAATATCTTTCTTCTAAGCTAAAGCAGAGGGAACTTTCTTGATTTCATAGAAGTTGGGAGTATAATAGTGGTTACCAAAGGCTGGAGATAGTAAGGAGGAGGGGGGCTTGCAAAAAAATTGTTCAGTGGGTACTAAGTTATAGTTAGATAGGAGCAAGTTCTCACGTTCTTTTGCACTGTATGGTGATAGTGTGATATATTTCTTTTCTTTAAATAAAAACAGAAAAAAAGGGCTTTAAATGTTTATACCATTAAGAAATGATACATGTTTTAGGAGGTAGATATGATTACCCTGGTTTGAGCAATATACAATGTATTTATTTACCACAGCATCCCATAGTGCTCCATAAATACATGTAATTTTTATGTCAGTTAAAATAAAAATCAAGGGGCTGGCATTGTGGCATAGTGGGTAATGCTACGTCTGCATCACCAGCATCCCACATGGACACTGTGGTGTGCCTGCTCCACTTCCTATCCAGCTCCCTGCTAACACACCTGGGAAAGCAGTGAAGGATGGCCCAAATCCTTGGGCCTCTGCAACCACATGGGGGATCGCGATGGAGTTCCAGGCTCCTGGCTTCAGCTTGCTCTTGTAGCTATTTGAGGAAAGAGCCAGCAGGTGGAAGATGTCTCTGGATATCCCCCTTTCTCCCCCCCCATTCTTTCAAGTAAAGAAACAAGAAAACAGGAAACTTTCTTTTGCCATCTCAAGTAAGCCAGTTCCCTAATGACTGGTTACTATGAATCTCCTGGGGTGATCTGTTTTTTGCAAATTGAACAGTTCCAAATTTCAGCTTGATTGTGTGGCAATAAGCATAAGTGACTCCATTTTCATTCCGTCTGGTCTACTGGGGTGTAATAAAGAAGCTTAGTCCAGAACTAAAGCTCGGTCCATATGGCTTCCATGATTATACTTAACAGTGGTATATTTGTATCTGACCTTTTTGTTTTCTGTGCTTAGACAAAGTAAGGAAGTGATATTGTTTTCTCTCATTTTATCATCATGGTCACAGAGTGACCTTGTCTAATACTGGTGGTCTGTGAGATGCTCTCCATCAGAACAAGGTGACCCCACTATGAGTCTCTGGCAGTTCCTAAAAGTGCTGAGGCCTGGCTGTAGTGTCAAACTAGGTCTCTGGTGCCAAGGGACTCCTCTTTTCTTTCTCATGCCCTTGACACATTGAAAGTATTTACTATAAAGAAATAGGAGCTGTTATAATTTTTTTTTTTTTAACAGGCAGAGTGGACAGTGAGAGAGAGAGACAAAGGTCTTCCTTTTGCCATTGGTTCACCCTCCAATAGCCACCGCGGCTGGCGCGCTGTGGCCGGCGCATCGCGCTGATCCGAAGGCAGGAGCCAGGTGCTTCTCCTGGTCTCCCATGGGGTGCAGGGCCCAAGCACTTGGGCCATCCTCCACTGCACTCCCTGGCCACAGCAGAGAGCTGGCCTGGAAGAGGGGCAACCGGGACAGAATCTGGTGTGCCGGCACCGCAAGGCGGAGGGTTAGCCTATTGAGCCGCGGCGCCGGCCTATAATTAATTTTTAAATTAACAAAAGGCACTCTGGATTTCTTTTTCCTCAGAGATTCAATGTGTCTGCAATGTACCAGTGCAAATAATATATTTGTATAATTTTTACATTTTAAAAAAAATTATTTATTTGAAAGTCAGAGCTACACAGAAAAGGAGAGACAGAGAAAGAGAAAGAGAGAGAGGTCTTCCATCTGCTGGTTCACTCCACAGTTGGCTGCAATGGCTGGAGCTGTGCTGATCCGAAGCCTGGAGGCAAGAGCTTCTTCTGGGTCTCCCATGTGGGCACAAGAGCCCAAGGACTTGGGCCATCTTGTACTGCTTTCCCAGGCCATAGCAGAGAGCTAGATAGAAAGTGGAGTAGCCAGGACTTGAAGAGGCACGCGTAAGGGATGCTGGCACTGCAGGCAGTGGCTTTACCCGCTATGCCACACTGCTGGCCCCAATTTTTACATTTTTAAAAGGAATTTTATATGTATTTGTTATTTAAAACTCACAATAGCATTTATCTGCCCCTCATTCAGTTCACCCAACAAGATGATACACTCCACTGTGTCAGTAATTATGGAAATGCTATCGTGCACCAGGCTTGGTGTACAGGTCTCAGACAAAATTGAAGGGGACAAAAAGGCAGACTTTGAAAAGCCTGGAGTACAGACATGCAATTCTGTCCTTTATTATTTCTGTTTAGCCTCAACATTCAGACAGTTATCAATGCCATCCTTGTGAGGGTTCACGTTTAATGAGTGACAAATTGTGGAAAGTTGAGGGATCTAATCATCCCCAATCAACATTTAAAAATAAGAAACTACTCTACCTCATTACTTTGGCAAATATTACAAA